CAGATGTATGGAGAACCGGGATGACTCGAAGCGACGATGGAGTTCTCGTTTGAGGACGACCTAGAGAGAGAGTATTCTATCAATTTTTAAAAGCGATGTTTTTGCTGCTGCTCCATTCACTATACAACCATAGTCTATTGTGGACCTCATAATTGATCTGTATATGTCTATTAATGCTTGTTTGTCTGCGCCCCAGTTGCATCCAGCTACAGCTCGTAGTAGTGAATACTTTTTTGCATTTTGTTTCCACTTGTTTAATATGCATTTTCCATGTATATTTGCTATCAAACCACAGTCCTAGGTATTTGAACTCATTCACCTTTGTCATTGAACGATCATATAGTGTTAGCTGTTGGCCATCAATCTTACGTTTGTTTGTAAATATCATGTAGCATGACTTGCTTTCTGACATTTTGAATCCCCAGTTATATGACCACCTCTCCACTTTTTTAATCGCTCTACCTATATTCTCCATTACGTATGGGGCATTTCTTCCCCTCATCCAAATAGCCCCATCATCTGCGTATAGAGCCGATTGGATGCATGTGTCTAAGCATGTAAATATGTCATTAATCATGATGTTAAACAATATTGGACTGACTGCACTCCCTTGGGGAATACCATTTTCTATTTCAAAATAATTGGAAATATCCCTCCACATAGAGTCATACGCCTTTTCAATGCCAAAGTACACTATTGCCATTGTCTCTTTCATTTTCAGTGTTTTTCCCACATCATTACTCACTCCTTACTAACGCATCTATTGTGGACCGCCCTTTACGAAATCCGCTCTGAAAACTACTCAGCAGCCCTTTCTGCTCCAGTACATGTGAGAGCCTACGGACAATGATCTTTTCCATCCATTTACATAGGTGTGATGTAAGAGCTATTGGTCTGTAGTTACTAGGGTTAGCTGTATCTTTCCCTGGCTTATTGAATGGTAGCATGACTGCTGTTTTCCACAAACTTGGCATATCTCCTTCTCTCCAGATTTGATTGAAAAGACTCAGCACCATTGTCATAGTTTCCATAGGTAACTGTCTAAACATAGCATCGCATAGCTGGTCTTGTCCTGGGGCTATATATCCTGTACCTTGTAAGGCTATTTTGAGTTCTGACATTGTAAATTCCATAGAGCTGACCTATTATCCTGTCTCTTCTCCTTCACGTTTTCATTCTCTGCTAGTAACTGCTGTTTTTGCTGCCTATGAATATCACTGAGATGCTCCCCACTATGTACTGCTGCAAGTGTCCTTCCTAACATGTCTGCCTTCTCTTTATCTGTCACTGCCAGCCTCTCCCATCAACCAAAGCTGGAATTTTAATGGATTTCCTTTTCCCACTCATCTGCTTAAACATGGACCAGACATCACCTAATTGTACTCCTCTGCCAATGGTAGAAACAAATTCTCTCCATGTTCTCTTTTTTGTGTATTTCATTGTCCTTCGAGCAGCTGCCCCGGGAACTTCACTTCCGGTGCGGTTTGAGGATGTCAAAATAAAAGCGGGAAGGATTTCTTCTTTTCGGTTTTAAGATGCGATTGGCATCCGGACGTTGCCTTACCGCCTACTACTGGATACATAATGAAACTACTCTTTCCAAAAAAAACTATTTTAACTAACAGAAGATACTCATAAAGGAAAAAGGGGAAATAAATAAACATCATTAAGCTGAACAGGTCGCAGGTACACAAATCAAATATCTGTATTGCAATTACAAATGTTTGGCATATCTGAAGCTAATGTTCTTGCAGGATTCGTGCTGTTCTGAGTTTGCATCCTCGTGGTTGATTGACCTATTGTAAGCTGCAGAGGTGGAATAAGTACTCAGATCTTGTACTTGAGTAAAAGTAGAAGTACTCAGATCTTGTACTTGAGTAAAAGTAGAAGTACTCAGATCTTGTACTTGAGTAAAAGTAGAAGTACTCAGATCTTGTACTTGAGTAAAAGTAGAAGTACCAGAGTGTAGGAATACTCTGTTACAGTACAAGTCCTGCATTCAAAATGTTACTGAAGTAAAAGTAGAAAAGTATTCAAAATATAATGAAAGTTCCAAAAGCATAATTTCAGAATAATATATATGATTTGTTTTGATTATAATCATTGGTGCATTCATGTGTTTATTACATTGAAATGCTGGACTTATTTGTATTGTGTTGATCATTTCTACACACCGTGGTATTACTATTTTTATTTAAGTTAAAGTGCTGAATACTTTGTCCTTAAGTCGTCAAATTATACTTATATTTGTAAAAAAAAAGTACATGAAAAACGTAATATTCAGAAAAATGTATGTTATATTTTTAAATCATAAAACCTAATCCATTAATGCTCAAATGTTGCCTCTGATAAATAGGAAGCACGATTACCTTTATATACTGCAGGGTAGCTTGTACATTTCCCATAGGGGCCAATAAAGCTCTATAATTATACATTAACAATTATTTGATTATAAGTATAAAGTAGCAGGAAAAGTCAATACTCAAGTAAATGACCTAAAAATGTTTCAGTAACTGAGTAAATGTACTTAGTTACTATCCACCACCACTGCTTTCGGATATAAACAGCTGTTATGAAATTGTTCAGGAGGTGTCATGAAGTGCACGTGATATCTATTTATAAATGGGGAAGAAGACAAAGAGGGAAGAAGCCCGTCACACACACTGTTTGTTTTTTATACCTTTAATTTTATTGAAACTAAGGCAAAGCACATTTCAGCATCAAAGAGTACAAGTTATTTTCTTTAGAGAAAATGTCAACAAAAACCATTGCACAGTTTTAAGAATAATATATGTGGGACGTTCATTCCTTCAGAAGAGGGCACTGTGTTGATTTAAAATGGCATAACGGGTGCCATAAAACAAACAGATCTTATTTGAATAGTGGCATTAATAATATGTTTGAACTTACTGGAATGTATTCAACAGCAGTAAGAAAGCTTTCTGCAGCATCAGTGTTCAATCTCAGGAGCTGCAGCGCTCTCTAGTGGACACTTGTGACACCAGAGAGAGAAATGGCAGTACAGAGCTGCAGGGAAATGACCTTCAAAATAGAAATAGAACATATCAATAAATGCTGAGACACCAGTCCTAAACATATCATTTCTGGAGACAATGCTTTAATTACAGTTACAGTGGAACAGCCTAAAAAACACCCAACTGCACTGAAGTCACAGCAAGAAGAAAAGACAGGAAAAGACTTTGCTGCTATCTCCATACTCTCTCCTATATGGCAATCATTTCAATATTCCTCTAACCAGAAATACTGAAGAACACCGTTTCTAAACATCTTCTGAAATGTACAATATAGTCCCTTTGAAAAGGTTTTCTCACAGTAAATAAATACTTTAAGAAGTTAAGACATGACATGACATGGAAAAGGGGGAAAACGAAGAGTCTATACATTCATTATCTCTTTTAGAAATTGATTGCCATAATGAAGCAAATGTTGTGTTACAAAAAAGTGAGTAAATTGTTTAAAAATATACAGCTTTTTCTGAGGACAGAACCCAATAAAATGGATATTTAAAATGGCAAATTATTTCCAAAAGGATTACGTGAAGCAGTCACAGATAATAGCACAAACGCAAGCTGTTTTCTTTTTTTAAGAATAGCATTTAGATACTTAACTCCACATTTCTGCTACACTGACTGCTGTATGATTGTTCATATTGCTGTTTTGTCCTTTACAAATAAACACAGCATTTGTATAGCCAGGGTTACATTTACACGTGAGGTACTTCATTTGGCTTTCACTCACGAGGATAAATGATATATTTTCTGATTGGATGGAAACGAAAGGATGAATCTGCACAGACATGATGGACAGCCTGATGTGATTGGATGATTATGGTGACATATAAGAGCCTTTATCTTTATCCAACCAGAGTTGGACCCACGTACACTGAATACAGATGTTTGTTCCCAAAATAACCCAGAAAGATGTGACCATTTGTTGATGAACTTAGCAATATTACTTTGTACCAGTTGTTAGCCTTTTTGGAAGTTTGAAGCACAAGCCAAACCTGCTTTCCCTTTCTTTATCAATATCAACAAAAAGTCATACGGACATCATACGGACATTTTTACCTGGGGCGCTTCCCCTTAAGAAATCAAATAAAAATGAACTCAACATTAGAGAATCTTTTATATTTGAACCACCAAATGAAGCCAACATTTGCCACTGGTATAAATATCAAAGGGTCCTTTCTGAAAAACATCTTGAATTGGCACTCAGGTCACATCTGGCACAGCTGCCGTCACACACACAGGTCCACCAGTGATAAACACATTCTGGATATAATCTGTATTTCTGCCCTGAAGCTGCTAACATTACAACATAAAGAAGCAGATATTGGCAGTGTAGAAACCATTATTGTTTCTACTAATGTAACAAACAGATGCAACAATCCCACCACCTTACAAAACATGTGGTAAAACAGCTCTTTGTCAGAGAGTAAAACTATGTCACAGAGAATAAGCCAATTCAACAAAGTCATTGTATTCTGAGAGCTTTTCTGCAAATGATTGACCATTATTCTGAGAGGGTGCTGGTGTCAGTCGCACTGGCCTTCAAAATAAAACACTATTCTTGTATGGAGGATTGTATCTGTAACTGATCCTGTCAAACACTTCAGGGTAACTTAGCTATTCTTCTCAGGACATTATGTTGTGTTAATACATGATGAAATGATGTAAATGGCTCTTTTATGAAATGATGAATGGCACCGAAAACACAGGAAAAACAGACACAAACTCACATATAAATGCACGTGGCGAATGGCAAAGGTGAATTCAGTCTGAATGAATCACGACATTTAGATATAATAGAACACATATAAAAAACAACTATGTATATAACAGAAATGTGTAACAATACAGTAACTCACAAACACTGGACTCCCAAACCAAATGACGTGGAAAAGCTGACGTTTTTTGTCGTTTTTCTTTTTTCTCTGATGTGTTTTTCGCTCACACACAAATCACTGCCAGTGTCCCGGATCAGCAGGGGGTCCTCGTGGTGCTGCCCTCCTCTCTCTCCTCCCCCTCAGGGTGAGCCACAGTGGGTGAGGGGGTCTAGGCCATGACGTCCTCCAGCGCCTGCAGGATACCCTTCTCCGCCAGGATACCCTTCTCCGTCAGGTGAGCCTTCAGGGAGTTGAAGATGTGGAACTGCTGGTCGATGCGCAGCGCCAGGAGCTGCTGGATCACCTTGCTGGGGTCCGGGCCCCTGAAAGGAGAGGGAAGATAATTAGGGAGGGAAATTACTAAGATTATCACCATCAAATCTCACCATCGATCCCAAATAAATTGATGGGCGGTAGAAGAATAAATACGAAAAAAATGAACATACCCTTTAAGTTTATTTATTTATTTGTATTATACACTATTTTGTATGTTCTTTCCCAGTATGACTATGTATGTCATTAACCTGTTAAGCCCTGAGCCTGTTTTTCAGGTCTCAGGCTCGAAAATGACATTCCCAGAACAAATGACCATATCTTCCCTTCTAAAAGGGTTAAATTAATAATCTTTTTTCTCAAAGTAATGATAAACCTGTGAGTTGGATGTAGAAAAGTCAGAACAATATAGATGTTTTTTATTTTAAAGAAAATTCAGATTTTACATAGTAAAAAACTGTAAATTATAGTGTCCGTCCAAAAATTATTTTTTACTTATAGTGAAAACTACCCTTGGATGATGGGTTAGTATACTAAAAGCTTTAGGAATCCAAAGTACAACATATAATAAGTACCCTGTATCAAGATTGATGCAAAACAAGTGACATTTGACCTTTTTAGAGAGGTTTAGCCAAAAACACTACACCTCTGAGGTGATTTGGGTGGAAATGTTTTTTTTTTCTTTCCATATCTCTGGAACCCATTGGTCGATTTTGATGGTTGACACCTCTTTCTGACCGTTAGAGCCAATAGAATCGAAGGGGGAGTCCCCCACACACACTCATTGTGAAACAAAAAGTGGGGGCTTTGCGCATGTAATTTTGCATTAGAGTGAAACTATCTCTAGCTATGACATCTAGAAACGGACAAGCAGTCTCATTGTTCATGGATTATCAGAAATCATTTCAAAAGGACACAGACACATTGGATTAACCTATGGATTAACTTCAGTAGCGTTTTTATCGTTTTAATGCCATTGAAGACCACTTTGGAGAGACTACAGAGCCAAGGTAAGCATGTTAGCATTTTTAGCTACCTAGCGCCACCTGTTTTGATGTCTGTTTTTGTTTATAACATCGCGATTTCGTATAATTCAGTGATAATGAGGGTGCCCTTCGATTCTGTGTCACCTCACGATGTGAAACGATGTCATGGATGTGGAGAAAATATATATAATAAGGTTTTGTGAGTGATTTTCGGTGCAGTAATCTGTTAGCATTTTTTGCTCGTTGCTAATTCAGAGGCTCAGTGTTAGCATTGTGGGTTTTCTTTTGAAAAAAAAAAAAAAAAGATCAGTTAGATGAGTTTCTTCCTGTTACATGGATATAAAACATTCATAGTTTATTAAATGAACATGCCCTCAGACACTGTTTCCTGCAAGATGTTGCGGCAGTGCCCCGGTTCCGGGGTCTCTCGGGTTTAACAGGTTAAATATGGTATTCCTGTCATGCTATGTTTTTTCTTTGTTATCTCTTGTTGGCTGTTCTGTTTGTCTTCTATGTTGAAAAGAAGTCTGTACCATTGCTAACACTTGTATGCTTCTTCTCAATGAAAATATTTGAAACAAAAAATATGAACATGTTACATTTGAGGGCTCCTTTTCTGAGGGTTCAAGCTGGAACCATGTGCTTTATCTGCTTTGAGTTCATTTATAAAAAGTGCTGGAGCCTGACTACATAGCATTTTTACAGCCTGATCTACATAGTAAACTCAATATGAAGTTACATTTAAAACATTTCAGTAATCATGAAGTCTCAAAGGCACCCTACAGCGCTGCGATATTGACCAATACTGAAAAGTCTCAAACAAAATGCAGTCTTCATACTTTAGTTTCATGTTTGTATATTTATCCAGTGTCAGAGGAAGACATAAAACAACTCAAGAGACAGAGATAACTCTTTAATGGTTATTAGCAAGCTAGCTAATTGAATGTTCAACCAACAGTTTGTTTTTTTCAAGAAATAATCTGCTTTGTCTAACAGTCAGAAATAAAATAAATAACCACTAACTTTGATGATGAATTCCTTCACTGTCACTGTACATAGCTAATTAGGTTATACAACATATTAACAAACCATAGCTGTGTGTTTACCTGATGAAGCTGGGAATGTAGACGTTAACAAATGTGGCCATGAGGTACTGGCAGTCGAACCGGTCCATAATGCCACCGTGACCTGGGATCGTGTTGGCAAAATCCTGGATGAACAGACAACAGTACATGTGATCAGACTGCTGCTATGAATATCATATACATGGAGCAAAGACAACAGACATTAAAAGGGATAGTTGGATTGTTTTGAAGTAAACAAACGTGTCAGAAATCCCTACTTTGATCTTGAAGCCGCTGGTGAAGAATCCTCCAAAGGGTCCCATGATGGAGGCGAAGGACGAGAGAGCGATGCTGTGGATTGGGAAACAGATACAGACGCACCGTGGTCTGCGGAGACAAGGAACATGTGTCAGACTGAAACAGAGACCAGCAGTTCAATCAAACTAAACTAGTTACTAGTTATTTGGCTAAAATAGGACTAACATAGCTGACACAATTAAAACTAGATAGAGCCATGGATTATGACCAAAAATCACAGGATTGATGTATCTTGTACGCTGAGTTGATCTTATCCGCTTCACAAATGTTATCTTAGATGATTGCTTTCCCTTTGATTTAACAGGCACTGATTTTTCTGCTTGAATATTTCTGGCTGTGAAAAAGGGCAAGATAATAAACAAGGTGACACAGAGAAATATTTCTGGCTGTGAAAGACTTGAGCTGTGTTTATAAGTGTTTAAATCTGCAGTGTAACTTCCAGTCGTCTCATTAATAAATGTCAGACTTGCAGTGTGGTATAAAAGGCGAAATAAATCAATAAAATGCAAAGTGTTAAATGTGTGCAGAGGGCGACACCATCTGGTCACAACTTTAGATATGTTATCATTTTTATGTGCAAATGAAGAACTCTCACTGGTTCAGAATCTTTTTCCTTAATTGAGTCCCTTTTCTTTTCTGACTTTTTTTAAGGGTATTTCACTTTATATTAAATACATAACAATAACAGTGCAGAACATCCAATACACTTCACTATGAATCCAGAACAATACAACTGCAGGAATATGGTTAAAGCCAGATGTTTGCATGCATTTGGAGCAGATTTGGGCAAAATCCAGCAGAGTGGATCGTGATGTTCATCCTATGTCATCTATATGTAAAGAAAAAAGTCTAAATATTTAAAGGACACCTATCATGCTATTTTGAACAATATATTGTAGGGCCATACCTATATAAAGTATATAAATATAGTTTTTTTTTCAAAATACCAAACAGATCCTGCATTTTAGCCATGCCTCATTTCGCTCCATTTGCTCTTTCCAGCACTGTTTTTGCAGGGGGTTGATTCTGTGAGCTGCAGCTGACCACGCCCCCCTGCAGGAGAGGGGAGCGTGCTCTGAACAGCTGCTGGGCTGTCAGAAGAGGGGGGAGATCTCCGTCCTCCGTGTTTTATTATATTATTATATAGAGTTGTTATTCATTTGTTTTAAAGCTCAATAAATATCAGGAAGACCTTTGACCGGCACTTTTCTAATTTTGTCCGGAAGATTCAAACTTTAACGGACATCTTGACCGGCGAAAGAAACTGAAACTGAAACTCTGTCGCACGGTCCCCTCGTTCCTTGGAAGAGGCGGAGAGGTGGGTGTTTGTCATCTGCTGGTGGACTAACCGGAGAGAATTACAGTGCTTGCCTCGACGGGGAGGGATTGCATTGAATTAAAGCAGCGGGAGCAAACGCTTGCCTCGGGGAGGGAGAAAGAAAGCCACAGCGGAGAATAAACAGAAGGGTAACCATGGTAACTATGCGCGGGAAGTCTTCTTCGCTGCTTTTGTGGCAGACTACAGTGCCACTTACAGGCCTGGCATATGTACTACAGCGTCTCCAGCGCTTTCGAGCGGCAATGGCCGGCCGTGGCCCAACCCCACATTCCCCTGATAGGTGGAGAGTTGGCCCAATAGCCGTAGCATCACCGTCCTGACGTCAGTAACGTGTTCAAATCTGGATCAGTTTTTATCAGATCCGTTGCAGCCCCTTTTTTAGAGATTTGGGTATGGAGGAAAATAGAGAGGGTTGTGTTTTCTGACACTTGGTGAGTTCCCTGGAACACCGGGGACACATATTCATGTATAAAAGACGTACAAAAGTGCATTTTGCATGATAGGTCCCCTTTAAGATAAAGCTGTGAAACAATCTCAATAATTGGCAGCAAAAATGTAAGGTTTTTTTAATTGGAATAAAAGGATACATGTTGGGATAGGAAGTTCTAATACCTTAAGAAAAGAGCTTGAATATTAAAAGATACAAACTCTTTTGGCTCATTCCTGTCTTTCTACTGGGTCTCTCTTGGCTTTGTACTGGCTATCTTCTAGCTCTATTCAGGTGTTTGGAGTTTTTTCTAGCTCTATCTGATAATTTTCAGAACCTGAAGGCTCTATACGGACTATCTTCTGGTTCTCCTCTGGATCCATCCACTATCTCTTGTCTCTGTCCAGTGAATTACACTTTTGTTACTGGAGCAGGTAAAGCATACAACAGATACTTTCAGCATTATCGGAGCACGAAGTGGACGCTTGGATGAAACACAGCGGACTTCTAAACAATGAACACCCGCAACTTAGAAGAAATAAAGTTGGGTTTTATGCGTTCTAATATTGCAATGCAAACCCATGATGTAATGACACAGTAATTAAAAATAATTTAATCACTGAATGCTCATTTCAGTAGATTTAATCTAACAAAACATAAACATATTGTCAGGGTTGAGTGAAGCAGGCAGGACCCAAATGCAGATTCCCAAGATAATTCCTTTAATCCAAGGTAACAAAGTAGACAACAGAACACTACCCTGTGACACAGTCAAAGACAAACAAGGAACCAACAATGACAGACAGAAAAACCAGAACTAAAATACACACAAGACCAATCACACAAACAAGACACAGGTGAGGAGGGAGGAGAAAACACAGAGGCACCAGGTGAACACAATCGGGCAATCAGGCAGGAGGGAACACAGAGACAGGAAGCAACAGGCAAGACGGGGGGGAACACTTTTCAAAACAAAACAGGAAACCAAAGACAGAAAAAGACAACACAAAACACAACACAGACAGATCGTGACACATATTGGACATGGCCTCAAGACTGTAACCTCTTCACATTCTGTTGAAATAGTCAATTACTAGCCATATCTTACACATTGCTGTTTTGAATCATTAACCTGTTAAACCCCATCCCTGTTTTTCAGGTCTCAGTCTCGAAAATGAAATTTCCAGAACAAATGACCATATCTTCCCTTCTATAAGGGGAAAATTAATAATCTTTTTTCTCAAAGTAATGATAAACCTGTGAGTTGGATGTAGAAAAGTCAGAATCAATATAGATGTTTTTTATTTTAAAGAAAATTCAGATTGAACATAGTAAAAAACTGTAAATTATAGTGTCCGTCCAAAAATTATTTTTTACTTATAGTGAAAACTACCCTTGGATGATGGGTTAGTAGACTAAAAGCTTTAGGAATCCAAAGTACAACATATAAGTACCCTGTGTCAAGATTGATGCAAAACAAGTGACATTTGATCGTTGTTGCCATTTCTCTGGAACCCATTGGTCGATTTTGATGATTGACATCTCTTTTTAACCGTTAGAACCAATAGAATCGAAGGGAGATTTCCACATACACACCAACGTTACCAAAACAAAGTGGGGGCTATGCGCATGCAGTTTGCCTAAAGCGAAACCTGTCTCACGCTCTGAAATCTGAAAAGTAGGTTTATTGCTTATGGATTATCAGAAATCATTTCAAAGGGACACAGACACATTGGATTAACCTTCAGCAGCGTTTTCATCGTTTTAATGCCATTGAAGACCACTTTTGATAAGACAACGACAAAGGTAAGACATATTGCCGTTTTTGCTACCTAGCGCCACGTGTTATGTCTGTTTTTGTTTATTATGTCGCGAGTTCTTATCATGGAGTGATGATATAGATACCTATCGATTCTGTGTATTCTCATAATGCTAATCAATATGTTGGATGTGCAGTTACGATAAGTAATAAGGGTGTTATACCGTGTTTTCTGTGCAAACGGAGTTAGCAATTTATCGTTCGAGGCTAATTCAGAGGCTCAGCGTTAGCTTTGAAGAAAAAGATCAGTTAGCTGAGTTTCTTCCCGTTACATGGATATGAAACATTCATAGTTTATTAAATATTAAAGGTGGGGTAGGTAAGTTTGAGAAACCGGCTCGAGATACACTTTTTGTTATATTCCATGGAATGCTCTTAACATCCCGATAGCAATGAATATCTGAAGTGCTTTGACAAAAAATCCATAAAAAGATTTCATCTGTGGAAGCCGTAATACTGTAAAAAGCACGACCAATGATTTTAGCCGGCCCGGCTGAAATAACTGGATGGCCTACCTGCCTGTCAGCCTTCCATCTGTGAACAAACTTATCTCGTGCCCTCATTGGTCATGTGCGCGTTCGTGTGTGTTGGAGGAGGGGCTCTGTAAGGAAGTGGCAGATTTTCTCCGGTTGTGTATTTTCAAATTCTAGCGATCTCGAGCCTGTTTCTCAAACTTACCTACCCTACCTTTAAGAAGCCCTCAGACGCTGTTTCCTGCAGATGATGTGTTTTTCCGCCCGGGGGCGGGTCGATGGGGTTCAACAGGTTAATATGTGGATGACAGTTGAAATGGATGATGTAACATGTATGCCATCTGCTGGAAAGAAGACATGTCGCTCTGTTGGCGTCATTTGGACAACAAAAACAGAGTGAAACTCTCATTTCATAAACGATCTTTGAGTCCAGACCCCGTCCTGCAGAGAGCACACAACCCAACAGCACGTCTTTGGTCTAGCATCACTTTACAAAACGTTTGCATTAAGACACTAAGACTAGCTGGTCCATTGTAAAGGTCAGTCCACCTTAAATGAGCAGTGGGTGATCAGCAGGTGAAAGGCAAGACACGGGAACTTGGTCCTGAGGAGATGTAACGATTACTAAACAAGAAATAGTCGAGTGAAGGGGTCAAAGAAATGAACATTTGTGATTATTAGCGAATCGGTTGCAGGTGGGTGAAATCAGGCTTAGGGAGTAACGTATTACATGTAACGGCATCAGGTCATCAGGATACAAAATAGGCAAA